CCCGTGGCAGCCCTGGCGTCCCCGACATGCCCCGGGAGCTGCGTGTCCACACCCCAGCAAGCCCTGGGGTGGCCAGAGGACCCGGCGAGGGGCTGGGCTGAAGCCCGTCAAACTCGCTTTGTGCCAGGAAGGTGACGCTTGGGTGGCCGTGCACGCAGTGGGGGGATGCCAGGGCTGTGGCCAGTGACCTTCAGCATGCCTGGTGCCTGGCCATGCTCCATGCCCAGGGATGGGCGGCCAGTTGGCATGCACAGTGGTGCTGTGGGAGCCACGGGGCCTGGGTGCCCTGTGTCCCCAGAGCTGGTGGCGTGACTTGGCGGGGCCACGGCCGGGCGGGGGGGAACCAGCCAGGGTGAGGGAAAATGAAAGCAGGTGATGCGGAAGGAGAAGTAGGTCAGGCGAGCTCTGGCCTCTCCTGGCAGCCTCGGCTGCACTGCGTGCTCCACTCTGCCTGGCTGTCCCTGCCGTGTCCCCAGGCCCCATGGGCAGTGGCTGGAGTGGGCGGTGAGTAAGGGGGTCCTGCTGCCAGGCATTGGGTCCTGGGCAGGCTGGGTGCCAGGCACTGTCCACCCCAGATGCTGGCGGGATGTGGAGCGTGGCTGGGCTGCCTGGCATGTGTTGGGTACGGTGGCACCCCAGCAATTTTGCTTTGGTTCTTCTCCTGTGGGCATCCTTGGGGGCACAGAGCTGGGGGCAAGGATGTGCAGGAGCTTTTGCCCCGCTGCAAGGCCAAGGAGGAAAGGAGAAGGGATTCCTGTCCCTCCTGCTTGGGTGGTGCCAAGGCAGCCACTACGGTGGGCCTTGGGGAGAGCCCTGTGTCCCATAGTGGAGCTCCACAGACATTGTCCTGGGCCCTGCTCCACTATGGAGCTGTGGGGCTATCGCCCTCCACACAGGGGAGGGCTGACTGGGGTCTCCCCAGTGGCGCTTCATGGGTTGGAGTGGCTGTGGCGGGCATGTCCCCGCTGGCAGTGCTACATGGGCTTGGGGGGGGATTAGAGCTGCCTGCCCCCCTTCCCTCCCTGGGATCAGCCGTGGGCAGCGGGGAGCTGGCAGCAGGCAGCTGCCGTGGGGGCGGAAGCCAGGCTATTTTGGGGGGTATGAAGGGGGGGGGCTGTGGGCTGGCACTGTCCTTGCCGAGTGACCCCACCAAGACCAGCACAGCGCCAGTGCCAGGATGAAGCGTTGGGGCCTGGCCGGCACCGCTGGCAATGCTCAGTCTCTGAGGTGCTGTGAGGACACATACCTTGCACTGACTAGGAGGTGCCACCAGCCAAGGGGACCCCCTGGGGCTGTGCAGTGTGGTGGGACCCAGGCAGTCTGGCTGCCCTCCAAGGGGTTCCCATAACTCCTGCAGGGCCAGCAGCTCCAGAGCTGGCTCACCGTGGGGCCAGTGAGCAGGCCCAGCCACAGGCAAGCCTGCCTGTCCCAGGCTGGGGGCTGGCAGAGCCTCATCCTGCTGCCACCAGTAACCCTGTGCCCAGACCGGGCTGCAGGGAGGCACATGAGCAACCGAGTTTGGCTCCATCTCAGTAGGGTCCTGGCCAGGCTGGGCTGTGCAGGATGCCCAGCTCCTCCATGCTTCTCTTGGTGCTGGCAGGGGTGGCCTGGGCACTGGCTGGGCTTGGGACCCCTCTGAGAGCCACTCACTTTGACTGCAGTCCTGTCCCCCTGGCTATCAGGTGAAATGTGCCCATTTTCCATCCTTCCATTCTTCCTTCCTTCCTTCCTTCCTTCCTTCCTTCCTTCCTTCCTTCCTTCCTTCCCCCTGCCTGTTCCTGCCATCTCCCTGAGCAGGGAGCAGCCAGGGACAACCCATGTCCAGCTTCGTGTGACCTCTCCCTGGCGCGCTAGGGAGCCTGAGGGTGACCCACAGGGGCCACATGCCCTTGGCCACATCTGTACTGGCCACCCATGGGCAAGCATGTGGCCATGGAACCCCCTGCCTTGGCAAGTTGGGTCAGGATGTGATGCAGAAAATGGGGATGCCCATGGCTGGGGTGCCTGTCCTGCCATCAGAAGAGGAGCCATTGCCATGCAGGAGCTGGGATGAGGCCATGTCCCATCACTGGTGACATGGTCAGGGTGCCACTGGCCAAGGCAAGGGCGGAGCCTGGAGGAGGATGGAGGAATGGATGAAGGTCGGCCCATCAGCCCCAAAGGCCAGCACCTCCCCACCTGGTCCCCCCGGTAGGCAGCCCAGTGCCCCCCAGCCAGGGTGAACAGCAGTTTGTGGCCAGCGCCTGGGCGGTTGCAACACCCCCAGGGTGGGGGGGCCATGGTGACTCACCCCAGTGGGGCCTGGCCACCAGCAAGGAACCCTGACTCAGGGCTGCGTGCCCATGCCATGCTGTGCCCCTCCCTGCCCGCCGCGCCCACCTTATCTCCCGCCCTTAGCACCTGGCACACCTGGGCCAGGGGGGGGCTGGCGCCATTCCCCTCCTTTATGGGGAACAAAGGGCAG